GAGAGAGAGAGAGAGAGAGAGGAGAGAGAGAGGACAGAGAAAAAGAGAGAGAGGATGAAGTAAAAATAAATACTATAGAGAAAAATCTGCTAATAGACAGGAAGTGGCGCTGGTGGATAAACCTGGATGGAAAGGATAAAAGAGCGACTGATGAAGGAGATGGGCAGCATCAAAGAAAAAAAACAAACAGAGGTCAACTGGAGAATCGAGAGACAGATAGAGATTAATGGGTTGAACGAGAAGTAGAGGAATTTGCGAGGAATGAATACTAAGGCAAAGTCTCAATTAGTAACTTTGTACAACATGATGAAGATGGATGACTTTATCATTATTCTTTGTTAAGGTCTAGTGGGCTGTGGAGTAAGAAGGCGACAGGAAGAAGAGGAAAGCGAATAGGAGAAGAAGGAAGTGGAAGAGGGAGGAGGAAGGGAAAAGAAGAGGAGGAAAAGGGGCAGGAGACAAAAAGAGAAGAGGATGCGAGGTGAATCGTCTTTTGTGGTCATTTATTTTAACCAAAAGGTTGTAGAAAGAATTGTGACTGGATTTCTAAAAGGAATCGTGAATACTCGTACTGAATTGTGCCCCATATTGAGTTTCACAGCCGCTGTTGTCGATAAAGTTTATGATGCACCTTTTTTGCCTCATGTTCCTTAAGACGCTCTGCTCACGAGGCTGAAATCGTTGTTCTCCTTAGTATATAAAGCATTCATTTTCATCCTCCTACAAATGGAAGTTTGTTATTTAGCAGAATATCATTATATCATTTCATTTGATATCATTTGAATATCATTATCATCATATGAATTTTCACAGGAGCAAATGTAATTTTCCAGTGACCTCTCTAAATACAACAGCAAGTTCGTCAGCATCTTCCTTGAGAATATTTGCCGTAAACATAGGAGTAAGTCCACCAACATCTCCTAAATTTTGAAGACTCTGGTTTTCTGACTAGACCAACCCATATGGCTGAAGATTAGATATGAGTCCTCATGTACAATTTCCCTCCTTGACTAATATTCTCATAAGTAATGGGGGAACGGGCAGTGCTAAAGAGGGGTGCATACTCAAGATTTGGAACGAACTTGTGCTTTATATAAGGTTTGGAACAATTGGTGCCGAGAAAGTATGAGATGCGCCGTTGAGCTGCAAGTTTCGTGGCAGTCTTGCTAGCTGGGTTATGCAAGTGGACATTTCATGGTCAATGAGGCGTCAAACATCATTCCCAATATGTCGCACTCATTACTATGCATTAGGGGAGTCTTTGCCACGCATTCGTATGTTCGATTTTGTGGTCTGAGGACTGACATTACTTCTCCAGTATGATATTACTATAAGTGCTGATCCCTATGATCCTTGTAGTAGTAAGTAAGACTCTCTCTCTCTCTTATCTCTCTCTCTTCTCTCTCTCTCTCTCTCTCTCTCTCTCTCTCTCTCTCTCTCTCTCTCTCTCTCTCTCTCTCTCTCTCTCTCTCTCTCTCTCTCCCTATCTCTCTCTCTCTCCTCTCCTCTCTCTCTCTCTCTCTCTCCTCTCTCTCTCTCTCTCTCTCTCTCTCTCTCTTCTCTCTCTCTCTCTCTCTCTCTCTCTCTCTCTCTCTCTCTCTCTCTCTCTCTCTCTCTCTCTCTCTCTCTCTCTCTCTCTCTCTCTCTCTCTCTCTACCTTCGTTATTAAAACTATGATTCATTATGAATGAGACAGATGTTCCGAATGAAGCAGCAGCAGGCAGGGAGCCGGTATCCTCCATCAACTCATCTAAAGCTTGACCCTAGAAACTCTGTCTCTCTCTATCTTTCTCTTTTTCTCACTCCCAACTCACTTCCCTCGTGCTCCCCTCGCCCCTTGTTCGTTTAGCTTTCCAAACACAGCAAAGCGAATATTGCACGACGAGAGAGGAGACGATGAGAGAGGAAGATGGAGAGGTATATGGGGTGGGCAGAGGAGGCATTGAAATGGAGGGAAGAAATGAAGAGGAAGAATATATATCATAGATGATGGGAAACTCTATAAGAAGATGAAGAGGAAGAAGAAGGATTTGGAAAACAAAGCTATATGAAAGGGAAAGAGGAAGAGAGGTAATTAGAAAGGAAGATGGGATGATCGATTGTAGGAGGAGGAAAAAGGAATTGATAGATTATGTGAGACAGAAGAGACAAAGAGTAGATGAGAATGAAAGTAAGAGGAACGAGAGGTATGATCAGTGGGAACAGGATAGGAAAAAGGGTAATTACGCGTGTAAGACATAGAATTAAATAATGGAGAGAGAATAGAGAGGATGGCAAGACCAGACTCCCAAGATCGTCGAGAGAATAGAAAAAAATGCTAAAGAGTGGGCAAAGATAGGGAAGTTCATGAGTCAAAGAACAAAGAATTAGAGGAAAAAGAGTGAGAGCCTACAGAGTGAGAGGCTACAGAGAGAGAGGCTACAGAGTGAGAGGCTACAGAGTGAGAGGCTACAGAGTGAGAGGCAACAGAGTGAGAGGCTACAGAGTGAGAGGCTACAGAGTGAGAGGCAACAGAGTGAGAGGCTACAGAGTGAGAGGCAACAGAGTGAGAGGCAACAGAGTGAGAGACAACAGAGTGAGAGGCAGCAGAGAGAGAGGCTACAGAGTGAGAGGCTACAGAGTGAGAGGCTACAGAGTGAGAGGCTACAGAGTGAGAGGCAACAGAGTGAGAGGCTACAGAGTGAGAGGCTACAGAGTGAGAGACAACAGAGTGAGAGGCTACAGAGTGAGAGGCTACAGAGTGAGAGGCTACAGAGTGAGAGGCTACAGAGTGAGAGGCTACAGAGTGAGAGGCTACAGAGTGAGAGGCTACAGAGTGAGAGGCTACAGAGTGAGAGGCTACAGAGTGAGAGGCAACAGAGAGAGAGGCAACAGAGTGAGAGGCTACAGAGTGAGAGGCTACAGAGTGAGAGGCTACAGAGTGAGAGGCTACAGAGTGAGAGGCTACAGAGTGGGAGAGAACAGAGTGAGAGGCTACAGAGTGGGAGAGAACAGAGTGAGAGGCTACAGAGTGAGAGGCTACAGAGTGGGAGAGAACAGAGTGAGAGGCTACAGAGTGGGAGAGAACAGAGTGAGAGGCTACAGAGTGAGAGGCTACAGAGTGAGAGCCTACAGAGTGAGAGCCTACAGAGTGAGAGCCTACAGAGTGAGAGGCTACAGAGTGAGAGGCAACAGAGAGAGAGGCAACAGAGAGAGAGGCAACAGAGTGAGAGGCTACAGAGAGAGAGGCTACAGAGTGAGAGGCTACAGAGTGAGAGGCTACAGAGTGAGAGGCTACAGAGTGAGAGGCTACAGAGTGAGAGGCTACAGAGTGAGAGGCTACAGAGTGAGAGGCTACAGAGTGAGAGGCTACAGAGTGAGAGGCTACAGAGTGAGAGGCAACAGAGAGAGAGGCAACAGAGAGAGAGGCAACAGAGTGAGAGGCTACAGAGTGAGAGGCTACAGAGAGAGAGGCTACAGAGTGAGAGGCAACAGAGAGAGAGGCAACAGAGTGAGAGGCTACAGAGTGAGAGACAACAGAGTGAGAGGCTACAGAGTGAGAGGCTACAGAGGACTAGGTCACAGTGTAAAGTAGACGATAAAAATGACTATCTATCCTTTCGTCAGTAAGTGAAGCTGATTCTTCAAGTTTCTAAATAGTTAATCCTCTAAAGATTAAATCGTGGCTTAGCATCCCAGATTGTGAGTTAATTCCTGAAGCTGATCTAATACTTTAGAATGTCTCGAAGCTTTCGAGACTGAATATACCTGCTCCTCAATGTGAGCTGATTTGGTCAGGAGGTAATAGTTCAAAAGTACGAGAGAGAGAGAGAGAGAGAGAGAGAGAGAGAGAGAGAGAGAGAGAGGGAGAGAGAGAGAGAGAGACGAGAGAGAGAGAGAGAGAGCACTCTCCCCGTTCGAGCCTTGAGAGGAAGGGTCGACTGGGCACTGATCCGTTACTGTGTTCTCCTGTTTAGCCAACATTATATAGTTATCAAATTGTTTTCCGACTGTTGGTCGTGTTCCTGATAAAATGAATAGGATAAAGCTCTATACGCGGTCCAGAGAATGAATTGGGCTGGCTACACACGGGCCAGCCTTTTCTGGCCCGTACGAAGACTTCTACAGACTTTCTGCAGTTTCCTTTATTCCTATGAAAAATCGCCAGGTAAAACTGCGGCATTCCTCTTAATGAGTGCCTCCGTCGACAGGCTTCTGGGGTTGTATATACAAGGTCTTCGAGTGCATCCAATGAAGAGCACATTTAGCTTTAATAAACACGGCTCCATTACTCATAAACACTCACGAAACATTGCATGTAATAACATCATTCTCTTAGACCAAGCGCAGTATGTAATGTGGACTTATAGGCGCATGGGGGTGCCCCGTCTTCATTAGGCGGCGCTCGCCTACTTACCCACGATAATCTCCCGCAACTTTTGCTGCTCAGCGCCCTCAGAGAGTCTACAAGATCCCCGTGTCTTAAAACTAAATTATATTTCCTCGCGAGAAAGACCACATATGACTGCAGAGAGTGACACAGAGAGCCCCTCTCTGTGTGAGAGGGAAAGTGATGGTGTGGCGAGACGCAGAGGGGAACCTAACACCCCTCCCCTCTCACCCATTATTTGCTGGCGAGGCCTCTCGCATCCCGCTGAGGATATAATGATTACCGTTGTTGTTGTTGAGGGGAGAGTTGTGCGGGAGGACACTGTAGGTAGGTGGGGACTACCTATAGTCTCCTACAATAACAAAATAAGGGATTGTAAATGTATTTTTTCTCTCATTTTCCCTTTTTTTGTCCTTAAAGATCATAAACACATGTTGACCAGACCACACACTAAAAGGTGAAAAGACGACGACGTTTCGGTCCGTCCTGGACCATTATCAAGTCGATTGAGAATGGTCCAGGACGGACCGAAACGTCGTCGTCCCTTCACCTTCTAGTGTGTGGTCTGGTCAATATACTTTAGCCACGTCATTGTGACTCATCGCCTTCATAAACACGTAACATATAACGTAACGTCTATTGGCACATGTGAGACAGTTCACTTATATACGTAACCAAAGTTACTAACATAAATTTATAACCTGCATTTTAAGCAAACCAATAATCTCAACTGAATTAATAAAATCTCCTTTGTAAGTATATTAAAAAAATCTTAATATACAATTTTCAGACAGGCGAAGAGTAAAAGGTGACATGATTGAAGTATACAAAACGGTGAAAGGATATTGTAGAGGGAATATTAATAACGTGGAAAATGAAGCGGCACAAACGGAACATAAACCATTGAATACGAATCCGATCATTTCTAATTGACGAAGGATCCAGGTAAATTCTGGTTTTGGAAATAGGGTTGTTGATTTATGGAACAGATTACTGCGTATCATAATGCAAGTGGGACTGCTGCATTGTTTTAAGCGAATATTTGACATATGTGAGTGTGTTTGGTTCTTCATAAATAGAAGCTGGCAGGCCTTTATCAGATAGCCTTCTGCAGTTTCCTCTAAAACATGCATTACAGTTCTCGTTCCGTGATTTCAGAGATTATGATTGTAAATTGGAGAATTGTACAATGCAGGGAGACATCTTATATAGTCATTAAAAATGAAACCAATGCAGTAAGACTTTAAGGCAAGTGTTATTTTCTTCTAAACACGTAAAGGCCACGATATACAGTCCTGTATAATTTATTAGAATAATCATTTGAAATGCTAGGCGAGTCTATAAGAAACTATGCCATAAAATGGTGCTTCGTATAGCACATGCAAGGTCAACCTTCAAATTTTACTTATACACAAAGTTTATCCCTTTTCAGAATTGGAATTCTCTCTGGGTTGAACCTGGGGGTCAGTGTTTTATGTCATCCGGACATTTCTCGAAATTCATGCTATAAAATGGAGTCTATTGCTCCTCGCTTGCTTCCAGTTTCTCATAAGATGAAAACATAAACGTGGTACAAGACAATGGTTGTGCATGCAGTGTTATAAGTGACGGTATAACAGGTGTTGTACGAAACAATTGTTACACTGGTAGTGTTATAAGTAGCTGGAAGTGTGACCTTAGTATCAGCAGTCACAGAAAATGTAAAGTTTGGTTCTGCAGTCCTTTATTTCTTGTTAATTCCCATGTGCCTTTGTTGTTAGCATGATTTTGGGGAAATACTTTTCCCCCTGCGAGAAGGGAGTCAGAGTGAAGGGAGCTTAGGAAGAGAGCCTTCAGCTTATCTTCACATAAATAGACAAGATCAGTGTCTATACCACCTTCTGCAATTTAGTGTTTGCTAACCGATAATCTTAGAGTTAATATTGTCTTCAGAAACCAAATTTTCTTAAGTGACTCAACTCATATTCCTTCGTCGATATCACTACCACCAACGTCCCTCCCACCAACGTCCCTCCCACCAACTTCCGTCCCACCAATCTCCTTTTCCACGTTTTATGCCATCATCGAAAACAAATAAAAGTTGAACTTCCATATCCTTATCAGAAAAAGTTATTGATCTATAAGAATGTTGATGCTTTTAAAACGCATCTTATCGCGTCTTACACACTCCTATTTTTTCCGTTTAACTAATATCTAGGGGAACAGAGCGGGGCTTAAAGAAAATTTCTTTACGATAGAGAGAGAGAGTGAGTACAATCTTACAAAATATTACAGCATTTCATGATCGTTAACAGTTAATGTGTATTCAATAGCATAGTTTCAGAAGGAGTCGATCTGCTACCGACCTCTTGTTGAACGTTTTTACCAAATGGCATCAGTCACTGGATAAATAAAGATCAGTTGTAGCGTTAGTCTTGACATTTCAGAGTCTTTTGCAGTGGTATGGCAATAGGAAGTACCTGGTAACACAAATTCCATTCAGCAGCTGATAGGGACTGCCTTTTAAAAACAGACTGGAAGTCACTTAAATGGCTCAAGTTAATCAAAGACGAGTGTGTATCTTGTTGAGGAATGTCAACTTCAACGATCACCTACTCATTCTTGAAACGCTAGAAATTGCTGATAAACTTAACTCAAGCTTTTACATACAAGTGAGGAAAAGCTTCCTGTGACGAGGCATATAAATTGATTAGCAACTTCCAACAATTTCTTCCTGGAGTACAGGATGACAGGTTACATTGACAACAGGAAAAATCACAGGAAATGATCATTACTGACATGGCGTCTGACAGTTGGGTGGACTTCGGATTAGTAGTCCTGAGGTTCCGAGTTCGATCCCAGGTGGATGTTTCTTTCACCCTGATGTCCCTAGCAGTAAATAGGTACCTGGGAGTTAGACAGCTGCTGCTTCCTGGGGTAGGGGGGGGGGTTACAAAGATGGCCTGGTCGAGGACGGGGCCGCGGGGACGCTAAACCCCGAAATCCTCTCAAGATAACCTCAAGTAGATTTCTAGAATTACAAGACTGCACGACATTGATCCTGAAACAGGCGTATAGATGGGCGAAATATTTAGTGGTCATTGTGATGACGTTTCATCTTGGGGATTAAATCTTTCGCTTGATGAACCATAAAGAACTACCTGCTGACAATAGCAAGCAGGACAAGCAAGGAGCCTACAGCCCTAAGAAGTAGGTCTCTCCTTATATGAAGGGCAAGTTTACTCCCGCCATCAGTATGCAATACTCTCCCCAATGTTCTGTTCCTACCATTATCATCAATAATAAACCCTAGTCTCAGGTTAAAAAAGGAAAGTACGATTGCAGTTTTTATCTTGTAGAAGGTATTAGAGTTTTAAGTCAAATCCCTTAGATCTTTCGATTGAACTAAATAACAAGAAAGAATAAAAAACATATAAACCTCATATACAAAAGAAAGAGAGGAGAGAACACAAAAAACACAATAAAACATATATATTGATGTAGAAGTGAAAAAAAACACTAGCAAACAACCTCCCGCAAAAATAACAAGAATATATACGAAACACTACAAACGGGCTCCGTTAAAAGAGAATAAAAATGTATTTAATTGCAGAACTCAACAGAAATTGCTAGTTTCGCAGTTAATTGATGGTAGTGTTGGGCTTACAGCCAATCATCTTGTGGAGGGTTATTAAGGCAATTACTAAAGCTTACTGACCAACCAGCAGGTATACTTTAGTTCTGAACATAGTCCAAAATCTGTACTTATACCACAGATTTTCAACTATAATTTGATAGGATCAGAGATATATATACCGTTAAAGGTACCCCGTATTTAGGCGTAAATACGATGATCGTTTACGTTAGTCCAGGAATATATATATATATATATATATATATATATATATATATATATATATATATATATATATATATATATATATATATATATATATATATATATATATATATATATATATATATATATATATATATATATATATATATATATATATATATAT